TTTAATGGGATAACACCAAGCATAAAATGGTTGGAAAATAACATATATGGTGGCTACTACTTACAAATTAGAAAAAAATCACATAATTCTTATTTTTGCTCAATGGAATTCTTCATCATTCATTTGACATAAAGCAAGGGTTAGTAGTCATGCTCAAAACAAATTGTTGTATTTATTAAAAGATATTATGATTTTTTCCTCAAACAAAATGTCCATTCAATTGAATGATCCTAATCTTATATATGCATTTAGTTAATCATGTTTTATTTAATTTTTAAAATTTTAATATTTTTTAGGTGTATTATATATGTGAAACATATAACTTTTAAGAGTGGAGTTCCATGATGTAATTTAGTTTTAAGACATGATAATGCAGGTAAAGTATAAAATTAATTGACTTTCTTTTTAAATGTTAAACATCATGAGAACTCTCTTCAGAATTAGAAATGGCAAGCAAGATAGCTAACTCCATTAGAATGAAATGGTTTTTTTTAATTGTTATTATTAAATTAAATGAAATGTGTTCCTTACATAATTTGCTCCTAATTTAGTTAATATAATCATAGTAATTAGTATAATAGATCAATCTTAATTATTTCATAATTATAACTTACACTACAGGAAAAAGCGTGAAAACCAAAATCTTAAATTTTCGTCTATAAAAATATCATATTTTATGAAGGTTTTACAATGGCTGATGTGTTAGGTATTTCCGACGGCATAAGAATAAGACATACAGTCACTTATGAGCAGTAGATTAGTTTTCGATGATTTTTCCTATAACAAATAAATTTCATCATCGGTTATAAACACATAATAACCGGCAACCATATGTCGTCGGTTATTTATGAACTCGCCATTTGACAAGGCGTTAGCCGACGGTCAATGTCATCGGTATTAATGTTAATAACTACAAAGTTGAAGCCGTTTGTAAGCCATCAGAAAGAATCATTTATACCACCAAAATTCGTTGCAATCCCAAACTTGCCCTAATCTTGATCTGCCTCTCCCTCGTGCCCTAACCCTCTCCTCCCCTCCCCTCTCCTGGCGACTCCAACGACTTGGTGATAACATCTTCGACGACTCCAAATCCAGTGACTCTAGCTCTGATGACTCACTCGCTCTGACACTGAAAAGTATTGTTAGATACTCTTACATCTTACATGAGGATGTACCTTGGTTAAGTTTTTTGCTATTGATTTCCTTCTTGTGGATATATCTAAGGTGCGAATGCCTTAGATATCTCGGGTCTAGTGTTATAGGTGATGGTGATGTAGAAGGGGAAATTATTAATAGAATTCAATTTGGTTGGTTAAAGTGGATGAATGAGTATTGTTTAATCTGAAAGAAAAATTTTATAAGATGGTGTTGAGACCTGCATTCTCTATGGCACAAAATGTTTGCCTTTAAAAGTGAAGCATGAAATTAACTTAAATGTTGCTGAGATGAGAATGTCTAGGTGTGTGGGTGGCTTTACACTTAGAGATAAAATGTGAAATGAATATATCTGTGAAAGGGTTAGTGTAGCTCCTATGTTGGACAAAATTAGAGGGTCATCTTAGATGGTTTGGTCACATTAAACGTCGACGATCTGATGATCCGGTTAGGAGAATAGATGTTTTAGATTCAATTTATGTTAAGAAAGGCAGAGGTGGACCTAGAATGACTTGAGCATTTTGTTTTAAAAAATGATCTTAATTTATTATAATAAAATGAAAATATGACACTCAATAGGATGCAATAGAGAAAAAGGATTCACATAGCCGACCCCAATTAGTGGGTTGAAGGCTGGTTGTTGTTGGTGGTGAGATTTGCGATGCTCTATGACACAAAATGTTTGCCTTTAAAAGAGAAGAATGAAATTAAGTTAAGAGATGACTAGATGAGAATGCTTAGGTAGATGAGTGGATTTACACTTAGAGACAAGTTGTGAAATGTGTATATTTGTGTAAGGCTGTAAAGGATGTAGAGTTAGCGAGCTCAGGCTGGGCTTTAGCGAGCTCAGGATGAGCTCTTGTTCGGCTCGTTCGAAATTGTCCGTGTTCAAAATCGGCTCATATTCAAAACCAGCTCATGAACAATGTGTTCTCGTTCGACTCGATTTAAATATTCATTTTCGTGTTGGCTCGAAATTGGCTCCTCAAATTAAACTGAAAAAATAAATGTAGAGTGTTAGATTCGAACCTGGATCAAATGTATGCAAAAGAATATACATAACCACATTACCACAAAAGCAATTATATTTTAAACTTAGATATAAATATATATAATATATTGTTATATAAATAATAATATATTATTATATAAATAATATATGTAATATATTATTATATAAATAATTATATAATTTTTTTTTTCGAGCTAAAACGAGCCGAACATGAGCGAACAAAGAGCTATTCTTGTTCGCCTCGTTTATATTTCGAGTTTTAAAAACTTGTTCGTGTTCGACTCGTTTACTTAACCAACGAGCCAAACACGAGTTGTTCGTGAACAACAAGTTTTTTTGACAGCCCTATATCTGTGATAGGGTTGGTGTAGTTCCTGTCGCAGGCAAAATTAGGATTTATGTAGAATTTAACTTAAATCCCACAAAACAGTAGAAAATGCCTCTGTAAATCCTACCGGTTCTTAAATCCCGTTTTTTTTTTTCCATTTTTTTTTAAATCTAGGATTTATCAAAAGAAGTAGGAAGCATGATTTATCAGATTTAAAGAGGTTGAAGCTTGTGGGATAAATCCATTAAACAAACTAATAATTTGATTTTTTAAATATGAATTTACTGAAGGAACCTTGACAATCGTTCGAAAATTAATTGTGGATTGAATTTCTTTTGAACTGACCTCCAATCAGATCAAAATCGGTTCGTTTAACATCATATTAATGTTAGGTCTGTCGAAGTTTGTTAAATCCATTAAGGTGTCTCTTTCTAATATTCTTTTTGCTTTGTGCATCTGTATTTTAAATTTCAGCAATTTGTAGATTGCACTTTACAATTTTTCCTTCCATTTACTGTGTACTTATGTTTTTGTCAGTTTCAGTAGTCTATAAATTTCACGCATGCAATTTCGTGTTGACCTTTCTTTTTACTACATATTATTGTACTTTTATCTTTAGTAGTATGTAGATGCACTACTTAAATATACTTTCCTGCTTGCAAATGAATTCTAAAAGAAGGGGTGACCTAAGTAATTGACAAGACTAATAGGTATGAAATTCAAATAAATATCAAAACTTATTTAGTCTCTCACTTTCATTAATCATATGTTTTGTAGGAGGCCTTCCAGAGGTTCAAGAAGAGTTCACAATCCTTTTGAGTACGATCTCTAGAGGGAGGCTATCAACAGGAAGAAGAAGGGCAAGGTCTATGGGTCGGGGTCCCATGTGTCGACTTATGATGTCTGTTCGACCTCTAGCACATCCTATGCTTCTACTTCCACTTCACAAAAGGAGGAGATGCATTGCCAGGTTATTGCTAAGGTGTTGCTCAGGTAGCTGCCCCGAGAACGGAGATGAGGGCAGAGATCGAAGCGGTGTTGCGTTCAAAACTGCAAAAAAGGAACGAGTCAGTGCAGGATGAGCGTGTGGATGATGATCATGAGGAGAGGACATAGGATGAGGTGGAGGATGAGTAGTGGGTTATTACTTTCTTTGGTTGTTTATTGAACAATTTATTACTAGCAAACATTAGTTTTATTATGCAGTTGTGCATTTCGTTTGTTTTAATTCAATTATTTTTATTTTATTTATGCATATGATTTATGTGTTAATTAGTTTTGTTACTGCATTGTGCTATGTTTTGATTTATGATTGCAGGTGGGTAGATTGTAGCATTGAAAGAGGGCTTTATAATTTTTTTATGATGGTATAGATTTTCGACTTCTTATTGACGGTTTTACGACAGTTTATCGAACAAGCGACAGTTTTCTTATAGTCTATTGAACAAGAGACATCTGGGTGCTACATATTTGCTGCAGATAAAGTCATCGATAAATTCTCACGTTTAACCAATGATTTGGCTATTGTTTATCGACAAAACCGCGAGACTTTTCTGACAGAATTGAAACACTTTTCCTGTTGACAATTTCGTCAGTTATATAACCGACGGTCAAGCTACAATTAAACATGACATATTTTTGAATCTATAGTGATGGTTATTGTACGTTGGTTAACTGTCTGTTAATGTAAGCCGTCATTAAATCCGTCGAGAATGTAATTACTGGCAAGCGTTTTTGCTACATCAACTTTGTCTAGCTAAACCGTAGTAAATATATTAACTACGATTTATCCATTATTACCCACAATATTTGGCTGTCGGTAATAAACTATTTTCTTGTAGTGTTATCATTCACTACATTTGGAGAGGTTGAAATATTTGTAAGGTTAGATCCGAAATTTTATTAAACTTGGTCTTCTCAATATAAAGGAGCTCTAGCACTAATAAATTATTATTAAGTTTATTTTGGTTGCATAGTAATAAGTATTTAAGATTTATCATAGTGACAGCATAAAAATATAATGCATTAGGCTTAATTAAAGCATAGAAAACTCAATCAAAATAATGCAGGGCATAAATTTCAGCTTGCAATATCATCCTAAAATTTTTTTTTCAAGATTTATGGCATTTATTTAAACTATAACTATTTATTTTATATATTTTGCAAGATAATAAGAAAATAGCTAATCTCAAGATACAAATATTAGCTTGCAAAATACAAAAAATAGTATTTTAATTTCAAATAAAAAAATAAAGTCTATGTCATGAGCTAAATTTCTACCTAAAACATCAAGAGCTAAGTTATGGTCTAATTAGAACATAAGATGAATCTAAGGTACAGATCAATAACTTAAAAGAGTAGAAATTATGAAATGAGAATGAAGAACATGGGAAAGATACATGAACTCAACCAATCAGAAGTCTGAAAATAGCTGCATAAATATATATAAATGCCACACATTATCTCCTGATTGATTATATCCATCTTCCTCACATTTCTGTACGATCAGCTGGTTGAAGCAGAGCATGAGGAGGACTTGGAGACGCTACACTCATCTTTGAGTCCAGTGCTAGTTGTAGGGAAGAGCTCCAAAGTCTTTGGAAGTTTGCAGCTTGGCGGCTCCCCGAAACTTGGATCCATCATCGTCATCCACTCGCAGCCACACCGCAACAGCGTGTCGGCGCTTGAAGATGAAGAAGCCTCCTCTTGAGGTCCGCCGGCCGTTTCGAGCCTCCTCAGCAAATCCATTACTTGTGATCTTGGTTCCTGAAACCCTCCTCCCTGCAATCACTTACAACAACATTATTTTCTTGCTACATTCATTGTTTTGAAAACTTATTTTTTAACTTAGAAAACTTACCAAAAGAGCCCATATGAAAAAAATCAAACTTTTAATTAAAATTCATTATGTATTACTTAAGATCATAAACTTTTTTTTTTTTATATTAAACTAGAATTATTAAATATTAGAAATATCTAGAAGAATATATGTACTAAAAATCAAAAAATTTGATTGTGAACTTTTCTAGATTATGCTAGTAATTGAAATATTGTTAGAATGATCCTTATATTAGTACAAATTAAATAAGTCTTTAGTCATATCATTTGAAGTATGAATGAAAAATAGTAATTTTTTCTTCATTGATGCCCACATAATTAAACTCCTCATTCCCCTCTTTATGATCTCCATATATATCTCTATTTTATCAACAACTAAGGCTAGATAGAGGCAACGCACATTCTACTCATCTTATAGCAAAAAACCCTAGAAATTGAACTTTCAAAGACTAAGCACTTCTTCAAAAAGCAAAAACCCTAACTTTGTGGCATGTACCTCATACCTACGTACATGCAAGCTTGCAAGTTCAATCAAATAAAAAGAAAAAGCACAAGAAGAAACAGGAGATAATGCTACTTGTTGAAAAAACTGAGGATTCATCTGTTGTCCATAGAGCATCTGAGAAGAATCATCATGAAGAGGAAGAGAAGCATCCTCCAAGTTCTGAAACTGAATGGGATGTTGCTGCTGCTGCTGCTGCTTTGTAAGCCTTCTCCTGAGCTTCTGTCTCTCTCTAGCCTTGTGGTTCTGAAACCAGTAGAAGACATTCTTTCCTTCTATTTTACCGTAGTAAGAGAGATGTGTGGTGATTTGCTGAATCTGAGAAGCATTTGGAGTCCTCACTCCACTTCTGTACATTTCCTCAAGTATCATTAGTTGCTCTGGTGTTGGACACCATCTCGTAGATGGAACCTGCGGCATTTTTGCCTCTCTAAGCTCTCTTTCTTCTCTCTCAGCCTTGGGTTTCCTTTCTCACGCTTATCAGTTTGGTTTTTGTGTTCTTGGTGACTAGTTGTATAAATAGAAACAAGGACATAATTTCAAACACTTTTTTTATGACATTTATCGTAAAAGAGAAATAGTTCTAATTAATTATGTACATATTTTCGACAGTGTTTATCTAATTATGTCTCAAGTGCCACATTCCTCTTGTACAATATGTCACATAGATTCATTTTATGTGCTAGAATTATATGTATATAAAGTAATGTTCATTGAAAAAAAAAAATGATTTTTAGCCATCACCTTTTGTATATTGAATAAGTAAATTAATAAATATAAATGGTTTTATACACACACATACATACATGCCTACATGCATGTATATATAAGTAAGTTTTAACATAGAAAAGAAATTCATATATAAGTAATTAGTTAATATTTGTAAGGAATTCCTTTATTTTTTTTATTCATCCATCATTGTTATTTTGAGAATCATAATATTATATGTAATATCTTTAATTAATAGGCATTTGCATAAAATGTGAATTTATATATAAGATATATATCCTTTATTCTAAAATTTATAAGTTCTTTTACCATTTTTATTAATTATATATTATCCAATTCACTGCCCAAGAAATTAATGTGTGCTGACAACTTGTATTACAACGCCAAATAATATGCTTCTGATGAATATTGATTAATTAACTTGAAAAAATAATCTTTATTAACATTCTGCTACCACATCAAGGCTTCTTTTTACATTTCTGCTTATAAATTTATATTAATGGGTGTTAGAAAATTCGCGTAAGCAAAGTAATATATTATGTTCTTAGTGGGGTACGAAGATTCAATACGCACTTAGAAGAGAGATAACAGCTATTAGTGACACCAGAAGTTCTTACATGGAAAATCCGGAAAGATAAAAAATCACGTGGTCTGGCCTAGCTGAAGAGATTCACTATAAATTGGAGATTACACAAACGGTCCCTTGTCCCACAAGCGAAAAAATAGTTGAAAAATCTTTCGATCTACATGGTTGGTGCGCGGATGAATATGTCGTAAGAAGTAAGTGGCGTCTGATGTTGATTGACGATGGCTGACGAGGGCAGTCGGCGACTGATGGTCGACGACGATTGACGATAGGTGGTCGGTGGCGTATGACAATGAGAGGATATCAGACTTCAGAATCGAGCTTCAAGCTCTCCTCCTCCCCTCCATGAGAGGGATGAACTCTATTATTAGAGTAATAAGTGCATTTAATACAAGAATATGAACTACTATGATCGAACAATCTGAATAGCTTCCTTTGATCAGACGACGTTTGATTGATGATAAATCAAAATAATATATTGTTTTAAGTATATATTTTATGCATATTTTTAGTGATATTGCACTTTAAAGAAGGATATTTTCATATTTTTGTTGCAGGTATATCAATTTTAGGTATTTATAGCAGAAGTAGCAAAAAAGACAAAATTTGGAATCGAAACAGCGAAGTTTCGAATTTTGGCGCATGATGCGCCAGATTGGCGCCAGATTTGCCGAAGTGGTGTCACATGCGCCGGATTAGCGACAAATGTGCGAAAACCCAGAACAGCGTAGTCTTTCAGCAAACTGGCGCTTGACGCGCCAGATTGACGCCAGATGTGTCAATTGACAGAGAGTTGGCTCATCATGCGCCAGATTTGGTGCCAGATGCACCAGAGACGATTTTTTGTAGATTAAGGCAGTTCGAGATGTATTTTGCTCGAATTTTCAAAGGGTCACTTGTTCTAAACACCCCTTGGAATAATTCAATGCATCTAGACACTTTGGAATGTTCTTTTATGAAGGGATATGTCTCTTCGATCAATTGACATGTCTTTTGAATTAAAAAGAGTTGACTTTTTTATACAATTTTAGAGAGAATTTTGAATTATTTTTGGAGGGAGGCGGTCTTTGAGGAGAAGAGGAGTGAGGTGTGTGGCGTGAACATGAGAGTTTGAGAGAGAGAGAGAAAGTTAAGGGCTTGGAGATTTTCTTCAAGGATTGTAAGAGGAGTGGGAATGTGAGAGATTTCTTCTTCATTACATTTCTAAGAGAGAATTGAGAGTGTTTGTAAAGAGAAAAAAACTTGGAGAGAACTTCTAGGAGTTTGCTTGGGAATGATTGTGAGATAAGTTGTGTCTTTTTTTTCTTTTATTTTGTAAACTTGTTTTTATATATGGAATTCACGTTTTGCCGTATCATTCTCATGAATTTTGAGTAGTATTCTTTATCATTCTCCCTACTTTGAGATATGATTTTGTGAAGAATTGATTTTATTTTATATGGTTTAAAAGTCAATAATTTATGATGATTTGAACTCCGATCTTCATTTACTTTTAGATTCGACCAATTGAAATATTAAAATGCGTTGAAAAATATATGTTCCAAAAGGGCTATGATTTCTACAACATGGAGAGAATCACATTTGATTTCATGGGAGAGTATTTCATCCATGAAATTGGGTGAAAATAAATAAGGAAATATACTTTATTGAATGCAGAATTAGAAATTTTAAGGTGATAGTTTAAAATCCTCAATTTGGTCCAGTTGATAAGAAACTGATGTGAGATTGTTAGCCTTCATGGGAGGGAGTAGTGGGAGCTTTAGAGTGGCAGTCATTATCCTCCCAACCTAACCACAGAATTAGGGACCAAATTCTTGATTAGTCAATGTTCTTTATGCACTCAGAAGAATGTAAAGAATAGAATTGCTCCTATTTGACACAAAACAATTTTTATATATTTTCAAATGATTTTAATTTCTTCACAAATCATATACTCATTATATAGAGGAATGATGCTTTCTTAAATTTGAACTTTCCGTCACAACATCTTAGTTTTTATTTTCGTACATTTACTTTTGGAAGTTTAACATTTAGTATAGCTAAATTTATCTTTCAACTGCATTTTAATTAGCATTCACTTGTTACTTAGTATTCAAACTTCACACTTTACTTTTTGTAGTTTTAAAATAGTACTTAACATTATAATCTTAAGAAATTATTTACAGGCATTTCCAACTTTCCTGTGGGATCGATATCTAGGACTCCATTAGAGCCCTTTATTACTTGAGCAATACGTATACTTGCGTTATTTTTAAAAGGGATTTGATAGTTTAAAGATTATTAAAAGATAAAACTATTTTTAATTGAAGTAATTTTGCTGGGATTAATTTGCATATTTGTTATTGTATCTGTCGTGTGTATTTTGTAACACTGAAAAATATTTGCAAAACTAACACACTAAATCCACCCGCATCAATGGACATTTGAGTATCTTAATAGTGCTACTGTTTACCCTTTCAAATATATTTAAAAAGCTTCCATAAGCGGTATAATGGCTTGATCGAGGCTTGATTTGGCTCAGATTTGACCAATTTTGGTACCATTGTGTCGGTCTCGTCGAGCGGGTCAGTTTGAATGTAAGTTTGCCAAAATGAAAGATCTGGATAACTATTAATCGAAGTTTTAACTTTTCTTGTTCAAAAGATTGTTTCGAAATCCATACATATACACATACATACATACACACACAAATATATATATATATATATATATATAATGGGAATGGGCACTAGCTATAGCATTAGTTTAACGTCTTTATTTCAAGTACATTTGTACTATTCAAATCAATATATTTTAAATATCATTCATCATAGGTCAACATCTGATACAATTACTCAAAAAAATTATATATTTTGCAATATATTAACGGTGTGAGAATCATGCTACTTTTGTAGAAGCTACTACCGGTGAAATGGAGGAGACAAACAGTGTAATGAGAGGGAGAAAAAGAGAGAGAAAAGTAGAGAGAGAGAGAGAGAGAGAGAGAGAGAGAGAGAGAGTATAGAAGAGACAAAAGGGATGTGTAGATAGATAAAAAGAGAAGAAGCAAAGTGGAAGGGAGAGAGATGAGAAGGAATGGAGAAAAGAGAGAGAAAGTACTGTCATGTGCTGATGCTGGTCTGATTGATAATAAATGAAAGTTTCAATGCCTGAACTGAATGCAGGTTTGGTCATCCTTCCATGTTTATAGGCTTTTTTTGCCTCTCAGATTTACTTTGTAGAAAGAAGCAAAGAGAGAGTACAGCAGAGATCTATTGGGGTTGAGAAGATATGACAAAATCTTACATTTGTATATATGTATGGTTGCTGTTTTAACTGGACAACTTACTAACGTGTATTAATAAGAGGGAATGACACGCAACTTTATGTCATGATGATGTCCATGATTTACCTATATTTTTCTTACTAGAATTTATGCATAATATATATATATATATATATATATATATATTTATATATATATATATATATATAAGACTTTTATTGCTTGCCTGCACTGCTCCTGACCTTATTAATGTAATTAATTATGTGTCATATTAATTGTAAATGCTATGTATTCAATTTGTTGGCAGCTGGCTGTTGAATTCATTTCAGAGAAGAAATTATACAAAAAAATAATCAAATTAGATGAAAATATATGTTAAACCTTTAATCTTCTCTTGCCTTTCTTACAAAAGCAAAATCTGTTTGTGGGATAATTTCATTCAAATTTTTGTACTTAAATGATTGATACATATATGCAATGGTAAGGCTAAACATAAATGAATTCATAAATTATAAGGAAGATCAACATAACTTACTATATAATTATTATTTCTAACATTATTATGAAAAAATAAATAAAATTAATTTATAAGTTTAAATTGTTACTTGCTTAATACTATTAGCTATGTGCTTGATTTAGCAATTAGTTATACATGCAACAAGTAAAGATTAATAAATCAGCTATTTAATAGCTAATAATAAGCTCAAAATTAAAATCTAGGACACTTAGAGGAGATTATTTATAGCTTAAAAGTTGGTAAATTTGTTTTATAAAATTATAATAAAATAATAAAAAAAATGTTGCAATTCTATAAAATTATATTCACTAAAGGTTTCTTTGGGGTCAATTTTTTTTTTTTTTTCTTATTTTTGGTTTAAGAATTTGTG